GTCAGTTATCCGACCGTCTGGTCGTGGATGGGAGGACCTTCTTCTTGTTTTTGTCCTCCACCAGAAGCGGGTCCAGCGAGGCGGCGAACAGCTTGTCCCCGATGTAGTCTGCTCCTGCAAGGTGCCATTTGGTTCGGGACTCCGCCTGCCAGTGGCACAATCACAGTAAGCGCCTGGACGCTACAGAGGAAGATAAAGCTCAGGGTGCATACTTAACTGCATCCAGGGTAGCGTCCGCAGAGAATTGTGTGGCTGCCAGCATCTTTGAAAGGGCTTGCAGCAGTCGCACCTCCGTGGCAGGTGTTCTGTCCCTCAGGTCTTCCAGCCACAACACCGTGGACCTGTTAAAAAAGGAAGCAGAAGCGGCCGCCCTAATGGCTCAGGTTATTGCCTGAAAGGTTGTGAGGCCTGGGGTTGGTGCTGCATCCCAGCGGCCATCACTTGTGCTAAGGCCCTGGCTAGGACCTCCTGGAAGCTCTCAGGTAGCTCGGGGGGGGGGGGCAGGGCGGAGCTCTGGGGGCTGTAAGTGATCCCTTGCCTTTGGGGAATTTGGTGCCAGCCTGGGCCTAGCTGAGCTGGAAACCCTGCGCCCAAAGGGATACCCCCTCGTTTCAGAGGAATGAGCAGGCAAAAGGGGGGGGGGGCGAAATGGAGCTAGTGATGGACTGACGGTGTCCCTAAACCTTCTTGAGGAGGCCCTGGTGACTCGGCTTCCCTGGGAGCAGGGCTCCTTCCTGGGTGCCCTGGGCTTTCCTCTTTTGTCGAGGGATCTCCATCTGGGGCCCCAAGAAGCTCCCTTGGAAGACCCCTCGCCTGGATCAGGGTCCCCTGGTCTCGGGCCTGCACCCCCACGCTTCGCCGCCTCCGCCATAACACTCACAGTTTTGTTGCTCACTCCCTCCTTGTTCTCTGCCGGCTGATCTTCTCTTTCCCAGCCGGCCTGCACCGAGGCTTCTAGGCCTTCTGCGGATCCACCAGCAGAATAGGGCCGCTCTAGGCTTCTTCCGGCCTTCTCCATGCTGTCTGAGCACTTTCGGCTTCCGTGGGAGGAAAGCCGATCACGCGCTCAACCATGTGCTCTCCTCAAAATGGCGTAGATCCAAGATGGCAGCCGCCAGTCTCCGCTTCAATTCCCAGCTGCTTGGGAGCGCCGGGGGGAGATTCCTCGGCTCCCCGGTCCTCCGCTGGGCTCCTGGGTGCAAGGGGACTTCCAAAAGGCCCGCACGGCTTCTTTTGCCCTCTTACGCAACCCTTCAGTTGCTGGGGATCGCTGAGAGCACAGC